TGTGGTCGGGTCCCACTGAAGAAGCTGGCAGCGCTGTGCCGCCCCGGGGGCCGATCGAGAGTGCAATGACCGTAATCTGTCTGGATGGGTAGAAACGTGAAAAACTGGTCACAAATGAAAATGTCATTGAGCATATAGGAAAGATCACGCTGGGTTGTAGCTAATAGGGTCAAAAGTGGGAACGACTCTAGGGGTCCACAGGTGCAGAGGGGCCCACAAGAATGTATTTTATGTATTTTATGTGAGAATATAAGAAATAATTCAGGTTCGATACAAATTAGCCTCAACTGACAGTGTTTGTGGCATAATGTTACCATGAAAATGTATAAAAAAAATTAAATCTTGATTACAAGTGAGGCATTTACAATGCAAGTGAATGGGGCCAATCCCTAACTGTTAAAAATAAATGTAAATTTTATGAATACTTTCAATAGTATAGCCACGTAACAAACAAGACTTTAGTGTAAAAAAAAACATACATCTTCCACTTCATTGGCACGACAATGGAAAGCAACAAACCCTAAAAAACAAAAACAATGTATAGCTCAAATAATAAAGTATAAAGTTATAACAGAAGAGTGAAAGAAAGTGCTATTTTTTTTAGGACTACAGAATAATGAAATGATACACTACCATTCAAAAGTTTGGGGTTGGTTTAATTTTGAAAGAAGTCTCTTATCTCACCAAGGCTGCATTTATTTGATCAAAAGTGCAATTTAAACAGGAAGATTGTGGAATTGAACAAATTCTACATTTCTATTCTGTTTTCTATTTTAATATATTTAAATTTACTCCAGTCTTTATTGTTACTTGATCCTTCCGAAATTATTCTAATGTGCTGATTTGGTGCTCAAGAACCATTTATAATTATTATTATCACCATTGGAAACAGTTGTGCTACTTAATATTTTTCCAGAAACTGTGATACATTTCTCCAGGATTCTTTGATGAATAGAAAGTTTTTTTTTTTTTTGATTTTTCTTTTGAAACAATAAAAGTCTTCACTGTTGCATTTGATAAATTTAATGTGTCCTTGTTGAATAAAAGTATTGATTTCTTTCTTTCCCAAAAAATTCTTACAGACCCCAAACTTATAAACGGTAGTGTTACAATGCTTTTAAAACCCTCTAATTTAAAAAAATAAACAATTGGCAAGTCAATTACTTTTTTTGTCGTAATTAAGCTACAAATGCTGTCGATTGAGCTTATCTTGTATTGAACCGGCAATATTCCCTAAAAATAGTTAATTCACAAATTAATTAATATTTCGGTCTGTGGTGTCCCGAGAGAAGTACTGAGACATTTTCAGTTTTGTATTACTTCAGTATAAGTGGGTATCAGAAAATGTATTGTCCTAACATTTTGTTAAAACAGGAGGCCCAGCTCAATATACAGTCAGGAGGCCCAGAATTCCTAGATGTGTGTGTGGGGAGTAGATTATATATACGCTCTCGTATGTCATTTATGTTTTAAACATGTTTGCTTTTGACAACTGTATTCTAGTGTTACTGTGTGCGTGTGATCATCTGGGACATTATGAGCTGCAATTATGCACCATTGCCAAGACTGTCAGTGTGATATACTCGTGCCTACCTCAAGAGGCTCCTTAATCTGTCCTGCTCACACATACACACACAATCTGAGGTTAGCCTGTGCTGCTTTATCATAGACTCGCACAGGGCCATTTATAATGACATTGCGGTCTAGTCAGACACGTCAGGGTGAAAGTGGTCTACAGCGCACGTCGTCTCCGTCCTCTTGTGCCTCTTCTGTGGATGTCATAAACTGACCAATCAGAGCGCAGAACGCTCCGCTCAGAAACATTAAGGAAACATAAAGAGAAGTGCCATCAAAATCTGCATCCATTTCGACATCAGCAGTCATTTTCCCTCATAAATTGCTGTTGTTTTGGTAGATAATGGCATAAATTGTGCCTTGCAAGAACGTTGCGGTGTTTTTCCTGCTTTTAAAGTTAATGGAAAACATTATGATTTTGCGGTGACTCTTACGTGGCACCTTTTTTCCAGTTCTCCTGTCCTTTTTTCTTTTTAGCTGTCAGCACTCTCGTAATTGCTTATGAAGGCTTCGTTAATGGCTTAAATCAACCATATGAATGTGTTGCGTCTGATTTATTGAGTCTTATTTCGTTTCAGGAAATATGAAGTGTGAGCCAAAGGTGGAAATAGTTGGCTGAGGACAGCAGTGCAAATCTCTCCCGATTCAGTACTGTACTAAAAAAAAATCATATTTCACACTCTCACGCTAACTTCATGTTTTGCAGCTTAATAATGGATGTGTTTTGAGATTTGGGCAGCAGTTATTTACAGCTCGTCGTCTATGAAGAGCATCTGTGGAATGTTGCCGATTATATAGAACATTAATTTTGACCTGTTCCTCAGTTTGTAACAAAGAGAAAACATGCTTTTAGTGTGTTTACATATGCATGGGCCAGAGGGGTTGAAAACAGAAATGTGAGGCTGGTATTTTATTATAAGGATCATGTTCGTCATGAATTGCTGTCACGCATGTTGTACTAAATGCTGTGGTTTTCTTTCTTCGGCAGACAAGAAAAGCAGATGCTCATGCTGCTCTTTTCCATGTGTGAAAGTGAATGCTGATTGTCTAGCAAGTAACAGAAGCGAAAGAAAAGTAGTCCCTGCAATATTCCAAGTCTTCAGAAGCCTTGTGTAAAGAATAGCCTTGTGTGAAGAAAAGATCCTAATTTAAGTGTTCACTAAAAATCCTACCCTCTGCCACTAGTCTCAAATTATTGTGATTTGAACATTCTCATATTCAAAATCATTATAATCAATCACTGACGTGATTGCAAGACGCCTTGATGTGCCATAGTTGACTATACATGGGTGTCAATGAAATTTGAAGTATTATTTATACACTCATTTATACACTTATTTATAAACTATTTTGAATTAGCATTTATTTATAAAAATGTACATTTTATTTTGTGACTTTGTCATTTTTATCAGTTTTTTTTTTATTTCTGTTTAGTTGTATTGTATTTTTTATTTCAGATTTAGTTTTAGTAAACTTTTTTTTAGTATAGTTAGTTGCCAAGGCTCAATTTCTAATTAAAAGTTATTTTATTTGATTTCAACTGAAAACTATTTTTAATGGTTTTAGTTTATGATAATAACACTGGATTTGCAAATAAAATGTTTATACATTCAATGTTTATGGACTCCACTCACACAAAACTATGGACTCAGAAGACATTTACAGTGTGATATTGTAAATACTTTTTTGTCATTTTTGGAGTTTTTCACATTTATTTTGATATTTATGCATTTATGTAATGACAAATGGGTGATTAAATGATGACAAAATTTTCATACACATGTGCGTATATATGCTTTCAGGGTTAAATCGACAGGTTACAAATATCCCACAATATTCCTGTCTAATATATAGACAGAATTTGAATATTTATGATGCCTTGATTATCTGCCATTAAAATGTATCTAACATATATGCTACATAAATACATCAAATATGCACACGCACAGTCTCTCACTGTCTGTAACTCTCATAAACACACTAACACACAAATGTGCTTTCACAATAATAGCCGTGGGATAGCACCCACGCATAACACACACGTCTGACTGACTTGCGCTTCATCACCATCATTAGTGCGACAAGAGGCATCCCAGAACCCCTTTACATAAGCACATGCGTGGGAGATGCATACTCTATCACACTCACACACAGAGCCTCCTCGGCTTCATTTGTTTGTTCACTAAATCGCTCTTCTGGCCTTTACCCTTCATTCTTTTTATCAGTTCTTCTTTCTTGAATCTTTGTGACACGCAGCGACTCCTATCTTCACGCAAGTTTTTATTCTTATCCCGGAGAGAAATACACACACTGAGGTGAATAAAATACACATAGTGATTAGGAACGAATGACTGCAATGTTTCTTCATGCAGAATGACTGTGTGTCAGTGGGAACTATTATTGCTACAGTATTAGATCTGTGTCTGTGAGTCTGTTTGTGACAGCATATCACACATTATTTCGTAGCATGCAGAATGTATGCTGTTCATATTGAGTGCATTTTCTGTACAAATGTACTAGTTGACATTTTGCCAAAATATGCAATATACAAGAAGAACCCATGTGAGGGGTTTTATGTTGATAGTGACAAATCACTATTGTTAACATCTGTCGTGACTCGTTATTTGATAAGGCTGCCAGAAGTATAGACATTTCTACACAAACTTGGATTAAGAATAACTGTTTTAATTAAAAATAAAAGTTAAAATATAACCCATTAATTTCCAAAATATTAACAGGATGACACTTGCTAAATTAAGTTTTTAAAATGTTCAGGTTAAATCATTGAATGCATTGAAGATATTGAATACAGTTTTTCATATTGTTTCACATACTTTTTTTTCAATAGTAGGCAGGATTCATCAGTTTCAGTCTTTCGGTGTTCTTCGGTTTTTGTTACATTTTATTGATTTGCACATTTAGTGCATGCGCTAATTACTAGGGTCTGACGCTGAATTGTTTTATACATTATATATCTGGATATATTTGTGGGAAAAAATCTATTCTGAAGTATTTTTGTCTTTGCAATGACAAAAATGTACTTGAGAAGCAGCACTGCATATGATATTAAGACCTGTGTTCAGAGAATGTTCAAAACAAGTGTATTTTGTCTGCACTGCCTGATTTATTTCACATGTAAAAAAAAAAAAAGTTTAAAACAAGTGAAAATATCTGCCAGTGAAGTAAGACAAAATGCACTTTTATTAAAAATACCAGAATACACTTACATTCAAAATATAATATATGAAATTAAGGCTTAGTGATTTATGTAGTGTTGCTTTTCAAGTATATATTTTTTTTTTATATTTTTCCAGGAAAACAAGTCATAAATGACAAAATAACCTGATTAAGAAGTGATTGTGGTTGATAGTTTGCTGTGTGATACCTGTATACTAATGTCATAAATCTCTTCTTTTCTTTCACAGCTACATCAGATGGGACGCGTCAGGGGCTGGAGAGCATGAGAGGAGGAGTTTGCGCTACACAGGGCATGAAGGTGGTGCTGAAAGTGGGACAGAGTGAGTAATACACACACACACACACACGCACACACACACACACACACACTCTTGGGAGCATATCGGCAGACAAAGCCAGAGGGTTGGTCGCCTGAAACAGTTCAGATGCTGGATTTGCAGAAACTTAGGCACAGTAAAGCGTTTCTCTCAGTGGCACACATGACCACGCTCGTGACCAATAGCTTTTGTTTACACGCAAACACAAACTCTGTTGGCCTCTTGTTAGTTTTCATTATTAAACTCAGGAAAACAGCGGTAAGTGAATCCCAACAGACTGTGGACACAAGTCCCTGAGCCATAACAGTACACCACAAACACTCGTGTCTGTTGTGTGTTATTTATCAGTCATGCCTATCACACTACACTGTTGAATAAGAGAGGATTAACACAGCTCAAAGACTATGAAACATTTTGTTTTTATTTTCCTCTTTTTTTATTTTTTTTATTTTTTCGGCCTCCGTCTGGCTATGATTTTTTTTTTTTAGAACATTTATTGACTTTACTTAAAAATCCCTTTTGCTCTCTCACTGTAGTTGTTATCTGCTTCGTGGCTGAAAGGTCACGTCTGTTTTGTTTGTCATCTAAATAAAAGCCGTTTCGGTTGGAGATATCTGATGAGATGTGCCTGCACATACACACACACACACACACACACACACACACAGACTGTCATGGCATTTTGACAAGTGTGACAGCTCACCAGAAGCTCAGAGATGACTGTGTGTGTGTGTGTGTGTGTGTGAGAAATGTCTGTCTGCTGTCTAAAGTGTTTATAACCTCAGCAGTAGCCCCTCAACAACAAAATAATGGTGTGAAACATCTTAAAGGAACCCTATTCTACACTTTTGCATTTTATACTAATCCATATCTGTTGTAATTGACCCTTTGTATCTGCTCTCTGACCTTTAAAATCAAACAGATTTTTTTCTACTATACCTTTGAGACTTATGCAAATGCAGTTCTTGATGATTGGTAAACAATTGCATATTAATTAGTATTAACTGGCTGATTACTGAATAGTTGACATTTACACTACCGGCCAAAAATTTGGAGTGATTAAGACTTTAATAATGTTTTTGAAAGTAGTCTCGTCTGCTCATCAAGCCTGCATTTGTTTGATAATATAGCAAAAACAGAAACATTGTGAAATATCTGTAAAACTTAAAATAATGTTTTCTCTTTTAATATGTTATAAAATGAAATGTATTCATGTGAAAATGCACAAAGTTGCATTTAAATCACAGTATCGTGCTTATAAGGTTGTGATATGGTAGCATATTTGTTTTTGTTACTGTATGTTGTGTGCAGGTTGACTGAACCATTATTATTACTAAACGGTTTCTCAAACATGTGTTCATAGGTCCATATGGTCTGCCGGCCAAATCTCCCAAACCTGACCCCGCGGACCGTATCAACAGCCTGAATCCAGGTAAACACAGCTGCCTTCGGTATCATGAGGACATGGCTCATCCCAAACAGACACAACATTAATAAAAGAACAGAACTAACTAAAGGAACAAGGGAAGGAAGCAACAGATGGATGGAGAGAAACATGCGTCTTGGTGCTCGGGTTCTTTTTGATATATTCCACCCTTCTGTTTGTTCTCTCCTCCTCACGTTCCCTCCTTTTTTCCCCTCTTTTCCACCGTTTGCCGTCTTCTACGGAGGCCCTGGAGCCACGAACTGGAGGCAGAATGCGGTGGGGGTAATGGCCGCACGGGGAAAGATAAAGGATGAGAGGAGGAGAGAGCCGTCGTTTCGGAGACTTATTAATGCCATTAGTTTAGCGGCTTGGGTTTAGTTGGTCCTGAGAGGAAGAAAGACACAGAAAATGGGAGGGAGAGGAGGATGATTAGTGTAGGATGATAGAAAGAGAAAATTACTCACACTCTTTGTTTGCACGGGTTTGACATTTGGGAGTGAGAGACTGGTGCCTTGTGCCCTATTCTGTTTTTTCTTCGACATACAAAGACGAAAACAAAATCTATCTATCTATCTATCTATCTATCTATCTATCTATCTATCTATCTATCTATCTATCTATCTATCTATCTATCTAAAATCTATCTATCTATCTATCTATCTATCTATCTATCTATCTATCTATCTATCTATCTATCTATCTATCTATCTATCTATCTATCTATCTATCTATCTGTCTGTCTGTCTGTCTGTCTATCTGGTTGTCTGTCATGACTTGGAGTGGTGGAGGATGTAGGTGGTTTTGGGGGGCTGCAGGTCATTATGAGCACAATAACACGGACAGTCATAGAGACACGGTGCGAAGGAGGAGGTGGAGGAAAGGAGTGAGGGATGGAGAGAGAAAACGAGAGGAATTGTGTCAAGAATAATGATGGGCCAATTGAGAGCGCCTGCAGATCTATCTATCTATCTATCATCTATCATCTATCTATCTATCTATCTATCTATCTATCTATCTATCTATCTGTCTGTCTGTCTGTCTGTCTGTCTATCTGGTTGTCTGTCATGACTTGGAGTGGTGGAGGATGTAGGTGGTTTTGGGGGGCTGCAGGTCATTATGAGCACAATAACACGGACAGTCATAGAGACACGGTGCGAAGGAGGAGGTGGAGGAAAGGAGTGAGGGATGGAGAGAAAAAACGAGAGGAATTGTGTCAAGAATAATGATGGGCCAATTGAGAGCGCCTGCAGTCAGATCCCTGTATTTCCGACCATTCCCGTGCTCGGCAGGGGCTCTCATTGTCTCCCGTAGAGATCACAACTGCACACACACACATACATGCACTGAAACATCAGCTATGTCCGGTTAAGTAAGCACAATGGTCATTTGTTCCATGTCTTGTATTTAATGTGTGTGTGTTATCAAACCCGTTGTACCTTTCCAATCTGTGTTTCCCATTGCCAGTAAGCTAGCTTCCCTTCTTAAAGGAATAGTTCACCCAAAATCAACAATGTTTTATTCTGTGGAACACAAAATGAGAATATTGTGCTACTGCCAGTTTGCATACACCGGAACTATAAAGTAGTCCATAAAAGTCATGTATTTCAGGTCTTCTGAAGGCTTGTGTGAACACCAAAATTTAAGTTTGATTCAGTTCAATTCAAATTTATATGTAAAATGTTTCAAATGTTACAATCAACAAGCCAGAAGTGACTGTGTCAAGTTGTTTTTCTATGAAAATTCATTTCAGTTGGCATTTCAAGCTAATTTGATGTCACCAAACACCATTGGTTCTTACATGTTGCAAACAAAACATGCTGTAGCAACAGAGGGCAAGATTTACATTGTAAAAATCACATACATAGGAGTCCGTTGCTCACTCAAAGCTATCGTATTGCTTCAGAAGTCATATGGACTATTTTATGTATATGTGTCAAAACAGCAGCTTGGACATTGTGCAAAACATCTCATTTTGAATCAAGAAAGAAAGTTCTACATATTAGATTTTCATTTTTGTTTGAAGTGCCCCTTTAATAACCTATAAAGTCTTTTATAGTAAGGCAGTCCACCTTTGAGAATGACCATGTGGTTGTTATCTAGCACATCTCTATTGTGTTGTTTTGTACTTCCTCAGGTTCCTCGTCTTAAAGAGCCCAATCAAGCCACAGCGTTTAGATTGGCTTTCATTTCCCCTGCGAAATGCCTCCCACACGCCATAATCCCGTTATGTAAAGATAAATGACTAATATAGCCTCATAGATCCCACATCTATTAAAATGCGCTCTCAGCTGTTGTTCATAGAAGAGGCTAAATACACCATTCCAGTGTTCAAACCTGCAGCACATAAACCACAGCTCATGTTTCATTTGTAAAAAAAAAAAGAATGTTTATTTTATTACAGAGGAGAACATTTAGAGCTGCTACTCCCTGGTGTGTACTCTGAGTGTTTAACAGCTTTTAGGGCAAAGAAAAGAGAATGATAAACAACTTCCAACAGCAAAATTTTTGCTATATTAAGAATAATTCATAGTGTAGCCTCATCAGCAAGTACTGTAAAGGCCAGTTTCCACACAGAGAGGAAATATTCAGCATGGCTATTCACTCAAAAGAGACTTTGAGTTAAAAAAAACAGAGCACTTCTATGAAGCTATTTATACTGGAGATTACACTTTGACTGATTATGGTAGGTTTTTCCAATTTATTCTCATGGTGAATAGACCTTTTGTCTGAGATTTGTCACTTTTACATTTCGTTCTTGTTGTGAGCAGGCCTTAATGCTGTGTCCAAATACTCATCTCCTCATCTTTATTTTTCAACTCAACGGTCTGATGATTGCGGTTCACGTCTCCATTGCCAGACCGCAGTGGCTGACCGCAGGTTTACACTGCGTGTTTTACGGCCGTGCCAAAACGTGCATGTTCACGGAAACCCAATCCACCTTGACTCATTGTGATGTGAGTCACTGGTCAGCGAGTTCAGAGAAAAGTCCAGTATTTTACAACATCCTCCAAACTTTATTCAGATTTCTGACAGTTTGAGTGAACATGGAGGACTCTAATTGGTTCGGTCTGATCTGTTAAGGACATGAACAAGCCAATCAAAGGGTTAGATGACTGGCCCCATTTAATTTGTTCCATTTGATTGGTTAAAGTCATTAACTAGCCCATCAGATGACGAGGTAGACGGAGGAAGGCGATGCTAGAGGGCAGGATGTGGCAGTGCTAATGAACCCGCTACATCAGACTAATACTCATGTAAGTGTCAGAGGGCACTTCTCTGAGTCCACGCTCCAATACGGGAACAAGTTAAAGGTGGTCATCTCACTAATGGGTGTCATCACCACATGCAGTCCAGAAATACTCGGAAAAGTTTCCCTGACAAAAATACTGAACTTGATAAAACTACACTCTAAAAAATGCTGGGTTGTTTCAACCCAATGTTGGGTCAAATATGGACTAAATTTGGGTTAAATTTTGGTTACATTTTTAAATTAGCTTTTTAACCCAACAGTTGGGTTAGTCCATATTTGACCCAACATTGGGTTGAAATAACCCAGCATTTTTTAGAGTGTCAATTTAGGAGACTTGTGTGAACTAATCTAATGTCCATGTTTGTTCAAAGAAGCAATATGTGACACAATCTATCATTTTAGCAACTATCACAGTAAGCTGTTTGTAGGGAAATGTGATTATAAGCAAGAAAAACTTGAATTTTTGATGGATCTGTAGCTTTCATATTGCCCAGTTTATTACAAACTTCAAACCATAAATTTAGTTTTGTCACTCTTTAATGTGGTGTGACAGATTGCTGCTTTGCTAAAAGTCATTCAGTGTCCACAGGAATGTCCTTTACTATATATATATATATATATACAGTATATATACACATAAGATTGAATGTTTTTCAAATTATACAGTAAAGATACAATGATTATATTAAGGCTATATATTATTATATTATATTATTATTATGACAAAAATCATAATTGTTGATTATTCCTGTAATTGCGATTAACTACCATTATCACAATTCACATTGAATGATGGTTTGGATAGTTTTATACTATTATTTGAAGCAACTGCATGTCATATTTTTATATGAAAATAAGTTGAAAACACTCTTCCTGAAAAACATTGATAGCAAGATAACATGTAGGGGAAAAAAACATATCTTAAGCACGCAGAATAATGTAAGTGGACCTTTTTTTATAGTTGCATCTTTGAACGATTACATAATTGTGGCATCCGTAATTGTAATCATGATTAGAAATTAAATTAATTGTGCAGCCCTGAGCCCTATATTATCTTACAAAAAATTGTACTGACCCTAAAACATTTGAAAGGTAGTGTATGTTAGAATAAACTCCTAACAAAAAGCAATTTTCTCAAAAATTATTATTAATGACACTGAATTAAGCATTGAACTTTTTACGTATTTCATTATTTTATATTATTTTCTTGAAATGTTGAAATAAATAAATACATTTAGGTCAAAAAGACTCAAAATGATCACATATATGGAGTGTCTTTATATATCTGTTGAATTGATCAAATTCTTCTCTGTTTTGCAGGTGCTGGAAACAACACACATCCCAGAATTCCCCCTAGAGGTCCTGGTGGAGAAAACGGCCCCCTTCTCCCTTCCAACATCGCCGTTATCGCAGGTGCAGCCGGCGGTTCGGCTTTCCTACTGCTCGTAACAGCCGTGATCTGCGTGGTGTGCTACCGACGACGACACGCCAAGCACTCGGAATCACACCACCCTCCACTCTCCCTCTCCTCCCTGACCTCGCCCAAACGGGGCTGCGGCGGGGGCGTAGGAGGCGGCAACAACAACGGCTCGGAGCCTAGCGACATCATCATCCCGCTGCGGACTTCTGACTCCGCCTACTGCCCGCACTACGAGAAAGTGAGTGGGGATTACGGCCATCCGGTCTACATCGTACAGGAGATGCCCCCTCAGAGTCCCGCCAACATCTACTATAAAGTATGAGAACCGGAGGTGACCTTACGAAAACATCTGCTAAGACCACACCCACCTTAAACGACTACCTAAACCCCGCTCCAAGCCCCGCCCCCACAATCTGCATCCCTGTAGATCAGATCCTTTTACCTTCACATGCATTTCTCCGACACGCTGACCGCTCGAGGTCGAGTGTGTCTGTGTGTGTGTGTGTGTGTGTGTGTGTGTTACCATTCCTCGCAACTCACCCAACTTCGGCCTTTTGTTAGAGAGAGGTTGTCCTGATGTGAGGGCCTCCCTCTCTTTGACATCCCACATGGGGAAAAGATCTTAAAGCTAGAGAAGACCTCCTGGAGGGATTCAGCCAACTGAAAAAAAACATGAACTCCTTTTTGGGGGGCCATTCTGGAGCACAAGCATCAAAACTTTTTCTGATGTACTTGCAAAAAGACTATAAACACACAAAAAAGAAAAGAAAACTCAACTTGTCCAAACCTACAAAGACAACATGTGAACTTTGACTTCGAATGCTACATTTACTCACAAATAGCAAATAGTCTAGTTTGTGTTAAACTCCTTCGAAAGGGGGAGGGGCCATCGATTCAGCCAATCGTCACACAGGGCTGCAGTCACCTGGTCTAGAACCCATGTGTTTGATTGGTGGAGTTGTAGTGGCGTGGAGAATCTTGTATATTTTAATAACGTGTGTATTTTGTGAGTGTGTAGGATAAATATTCCAACACTGCTGTCGCACACGTTGCGACCGTCGTGCTTCAGTACAACTCGCGAGTGTTTTTGCGTGCGGATGAGTGCGTGTTTGAGTACAGTGTTAGTGTGAGCATGGGAGCGTGTGTTTGTTAGACTGTTTCAAAACCAAAACACAAAAATATGAGCGAACATCAAAAAAATTTTTTTTATCGCTTTCAACACATAGATTATAATTATATATGAATACTCAGTAAAATCATTTTTAGATTTTTTTTTTCATGTAAAGTTAGTTTGCTAGGCCTAATTTTTGTTTACCTATTTTTTATGACATGCTGACCTTGTTTCTTCCCCTTTTTGAGTTGTAAATTAATTTAATGCTTTGATTCCGTTGCAGAAACCGAGTTTGTTTTGAGTTCCCCCTCATTTTCCTTTTTCCCTGGAGTCTGCTCCGCTCTACACATATATTTTTATAGCTCCTTGTACTCTGATGTAGTTTTGAAGCTAGACCTCGTTTGTGAATGTGTTGAGGTAGAACAATCCGAGAAAGTTTTTTTTATTATTATTTTTAAAGACGCTTGGAAAAAAAAGGGGAAAAATCCAGAAAGGAGGGAAGAATTGGATGGGGGTGAAATAAAAAGAAAAGAATGCGAACACCGCCTGTTGGGAAAGCAAACGCACGAGCGAGGAAACTTCTAGAAAGACTGTGAAACTATGGAAGAATCACACATTAAAAGAGAAAAATAGGGGGAGGGGGAGGTGGGGGGAGAGAAGGAAAGTTGAAAGATGATTGAAGGAGAAGAGAGAGAGAGAGGGATGGAAAGGTTTTTAATAAACTCGTCGGAAGCAGTGGAAGAGGCAGATTTGGGCCTGATGGTCTTCTGAGATACAAAGAGTCAGATGAGGGGAAGAACGAAACTGATTCTCTCAGAGGACAACAGGATAGATGGACACACAGAATTACTCTTTTACAGACACACAGCGCTCTTTTTTGTTCACATGAAGTGAAGTGGAAATTTTTCTAGACTCGTTTCAAATTCTTGAGTATCAGACACATCTCAATTTGGTAGACATGTTCACACACACACATACACACACACATACACACACACACACAGAGAGAAAGACTCAATGGCCATGGCACACAGAAAAGCTCTTGTAGAGATTTTCATCACATACACACATGCACAGCTCCAAAACACAATTAAAAGCCATTCTGATTGGACATATATGCTGGTTACCTCAACAAATACCGTGATTAGCATTGTTCTTTCACATTCTCTTTCTCTCCTCTCTCTCTCACACACACAAACACACACACACACACACACACACAATCATGCAGCTTTGTAACTAGCTGTGTGTATATCTCTGTTAGTGCCAATGAAAATCTCTCTTTTAGGCCTGAAATGCACGCTACGCAAGTATGTGAACGCAAAAACGCTTCCAACTACACGCCGTTGCTTTCTGAAATGTGTCAGGACTCAGTTGCATTCTCAGCACATATTAGCATAAACTATGGTCAGTTTTCTCTGACATGGCATATCAACAGTTTGGCAAAGAATCTTATAAAACTAGTTAGCTTCTGTTAATCAATTGCTGAATTTGGAATAGAATACTGTTCTTAAAATGTCTGTCATACAGTATGCTATTTGGAAATGTTAGCTAAAGTGATTCAAAGGCTGAATTCAAAATTTGACTAGCTTTAGCTAATTAGCAGAGAAAAATGAGCTATATGGCAGTAATAGTAACTACAGAGCCCCATACATGACATGTGGGTGGAAAACAAGATATTGTTGCCACAAATTAAGAATTCATTCCTACGAGTTATTAATTTGTGGCCACGTTTCATTAATTAGCTCTGTTGTTTAGTTAAATCCACAGTTTAACTAAAGTGAGGGAACAAAGTAGTACAACATGGCCACTAATAAACTAAAGCGAGGGAACTAATTAATAAATTATGAGAACAAATTTTAAATTTGTGCCCATTTTATCTTTATTTCTGCATGTCATGTGTGAGGTTCCATAGTAAGAACTGTATGCTAGTATGCTATTCTGGAAACAGTTAACTAGTAGCCTAGTAAATAGTAATGAAGCCCCACACATGTAATGTGGGGGGAAAAAACTATTTATTAATTTGTTACCATGTTTTACTTGAACTGTAACCAATTTGTACATTTTGTATTTCGAAAACGGCTGATATAACATATGTTCTAGCATTTGCAATGTGTTAACCAAGCATCCGCATACTTGCATAGAATATGTTTCTGGCCTTAGGAGTACAAATTGTGTTCTGTTTCACTGCCATTGTCACAGTGCGTTTTGTATAAAACGTGTAAAAGAATGTTATCGCTAAGAAATACACCGCATACACGCACTTAATAACAAGCCATTCATACCCAAATATGTTGGTCTTATTTTGCAGATGTGATTTGTGACTGACGTTGGGACTCGAACAAGCTGTTACTGTTTTCAATCTGCCTAGAAAGCTTCAATATTTGTCTCTCAAAAGCATTTCGTTTTGTATCACTCTGGTGCATCAAGACTGTGAGAAAAAAGAAACAACATGACATTGTTTTCCTGTCACATTGATGTTTTCTTCTTACACGCCAATTTGGATTTTGTTACTTCAATATCAAGTTGCCTAAAATGTGGAGGTGTTCCGTTTGTTCGGCGCTGTTGTATTTGTGGGCTGTTTCATACATATTTAAGCGTTCGATTTCTGTTCAATTTCTGTTGCATTTACTAAAACAATCAGCGTAAGCCATGTCTCTGACCCTGTGCACATGGACTTGGATACGTGTGTGTGCGTATGTCCGAAACACACGTGCACATCTTTCGAAGACGGACCGACGTGTTGCGTTCGGATTACAGAGGACACACGAGGAGACACAAACTCTCTCTGCTCACCATCCTCCCTTTTTTAGGTCTCGGTTATCGAACATCTGGCCTCAGAAAGGTCCATCTTCTGTCTTTCACATCGAGCGGTTCTTTGTGCACTTGCTTTCGCCATGAACGCTGGGACCAGTATTCTGTACGCAGACACAAGCGGGGACGAACCACAAAGTGTGTATTTTTTTAGAGAACGCTTCAGTTGTGTGTACGTGTTTCTCTGTGCCAATAGCCAGCGGGTGGTGGCCACTTTAAAGACCTCCATTCCTCTCCAGTGATGTGTTCTGACGTTTGTAAAACACCATGTTTGTGTGTGCTGTTTTCTTTTCCGTGTCTATCCCTCCATCTCCCCCTCCCTCACGATCCCTCTCTTGTTTTCCCTCCTGCATACATGCCTTTAAAAGGGTTAAACAACTAATACATTCCTTTGAAGAAATGTTGATTAAAAAACACATCAAACTTTACAATGCATTCTTGGCTTCTCTTTACTGTGTGTGTGTATTTGTTTTCGAATGCATTGAGTTCCCTTTCATGGGAACTTTGAACTGCGTCCTCTAGGGGTCGCTATGGGGAACCTAGAGGACGCAGTGTCTCGTTCCCTACTCAGGGAACCATGGTTACATAAGTAATCTGAGACGTTCCCTTTCATGGGAACTTCGAACTGCGTCCTCTAGGTTCCCCATAGTGACCCCTAGAGGACGCAGTGTCTCGTTCCCTACTCAGGGAACCATGGTTACATAAGTAACCTAAGACGTTTTGTGGATTTCCACTGAACGTGCAACTGATTTAATGTTCTTTATTTTTCTTTCCACTCTACCATCAATCTCTTCTTCCTGGTATTTCATCTTCTCTAAAGTAAACAGTGGCGTTTACAGTCACCATCCGTTGCCAGTAGAGAAACAAATGTGTTCTTTAAGTGCACAGAAATATATTTTCTTGTATTAGTTATTTCAGACTGTATCTCTCTTTCTCTTTTATTGCCTTCCTTTAGATCCTTCTTTATGTTTTCCTTAATGCCATTCAGTTGCCAAAGCAACATTGCCTTCTGGCAACAATTGCATTTTTATGAAAACTCGCAAAATCTGGTACTGATTGCCCCCGTGAGGTTTCCACATAGTTACAGGTGATGCAGAGGCGACGGCTGTGTTATTGGCCTGGGAACGCTTATGTCGTGCTACAATCCTGTCATTGGTGCAATGTGATTTAGGTGTGAAGAGAAAGGTTCTGGAACACAAGGGAGAGAAGAACACTTAGAAATGGCCTTATAGGCTTCTGCAGTCATCTTTATTGCGTAATCATTTTTCTAAAATGTGCTTGTATGCCTTTAATGACCCAGAGGAGTATTTTATCGCCCATGGTTTGCTCAGGGAATTTCTCAACTGTGTCACAGGTTGTTCTCCTACAGTTTCCTTGGACATTTAAAAATAAAAATGTCAGCAAATTAAGACAATTGTTGACATACAGTCAATAGAGTGATACAATTAATGTGGATGGCGTAGATAATTAGGTTTTGCAAGAATTAAAGCAAAAGTCTCCTTTTAATCTCCATTTAAAATCATTGCTGTCTCTGAGTGGTTACCTTTTTTCCCCAGTTGAACTCATAGGATATAAATGAATTATATGATTAACTTCAAAAAGTGCTACAGATATATCCAATCTGCATTCAAAAAGAAATAAAAAACCTTACAAAGTACCCCAGAATTTTACATAATGCTAAACTTTAATTAAAACGTAATGATTCACATTATTTGGAAAAAAATATAGACTTTGTGATAAAATTGTGCAAGTGTTACATTTTGATAGTATAAACATGATATCTTTAGATTAAAAAAAAATTGACATTTGATCCATTTTATTAATTTAGTGCATTGACATTTCATCATGAACCTGTCACCTGCAGCTTGCCATCCACTTCGGGAAAAAATTGGTTTGAAATCTCACAAATAGAAATGTTTAACCTATTTATCATATGTAATACATTTATATTTTATATTCCATATATTTCATCAACTTTGCACATATGCCAACTTTGTTGAATTTCCTTTAAAATTCCAATTCATTATTTGTGGGCACGGCCATTAGCCTAAATAAAAATGCCAACTCATTGAATTCAAAGGGAGGCAGAGGCAGCCCTTAAACGATACATTTTCCCAATTCTGGTTGAATCTGGTTTCACAGATTTCACATTAAGAGCGAATGCGCTCATAACATTCATTCGCATCCACTTGATGCGAAATCATTTTCTCTGCAACGTCACGACTTAACTTCTGTCAGGACCATTATCATCAAAATGATAGACACTTAGCATAAAGTTTGATTT